GGGAAGATAAAGGGCTTTATCGTGTGTTCAGGATGTATGCGATTGGCGCTTGCTCGGTTATCTGAGATTTTGGCTTTTCTTCCTGAACCGAGTATTCTAACTTGGAACTTTTTATTTTTGATAATTTTTAATAAAAATGAAATCAAAAAGTTCTCCGTGTCGGGGAATCGAACCCCGGTCGCCCGCGTGACAGGCGGGAATACTCACCACTATACTAACACGGATCTGATGGGGGCAGGAAATAAAGTCGATAGATGGCGCTTTATTAAAATTCACTGTTTGCTGATTGGTCGAATTTTCATTTAATAGCGCCACTGATGAAATAATGGTTTACAGCAGTGATTTTGATTGGAGGAAATTGGAGAAATAGAAAGATTTCTTATTGGCTTATTTAATAATTGCTTATCCGTTTTTTTATGAAATGGGGCAGCAAGTATCAGGAAATTACGATGTCTTATCTATTAGATCTAGGATCAGATAGCAGTTTTTTATGCGATAAGAACTCGGTATTCCTGTATTGCGGGTAGGATGAGCTAGAACCGGATCATTTTTCGCGCCTTGAGGTTATTCAGTCCCGCGTTTAGAAGGGCGAAGAAGATGAGAAGATAAGGGGATAATTTCCGGTCCGAAATTGTTTCCCAAATATTTCTTATTCACTCAGGTGCAGCCAAAAAAAGCGGTTCAACTCAACGCATCAAAAGTTTGCATCGAGGAGGAGTCTTACTGGATAAATTTCTGATCCGAACAATTAATAAACCGAGCGGTGTATTCAAGAGTTTTTGAAATTCGAGTCTCTTTCCGGGCTCAATCGAGCTCTAGAATCGAGCACTTCCGCGAGCAGATAGGTTCGAAATTTATGATGGATGTCTTTCTAAAATCAAAAGAAAGTTCGCTATTGCCATTTTCTTTTGAACCTTTTTGTGATAAACTCAAAATGATACTATTTTCGTTCAATAAACCCCCGATATATACGATGATAAGACGCCTCTAAAACAGCCCCATCATATCAGTCTTAGTCGACGTTTTCGTCCCTACGAGCTAGAAGATAGCACTTTTATCAAGGAGCAAGGTTGCGATAAAATTTAATATTTTGTTCTTGTACAGAAAATTGATACGGAGAGCTGCTTTGTGGAACATCCGATCCGTTCTCTAGAAATTCGCTTATCAATCGATCCAGGTAGTGGGCGACTATGATAACGAGATATTAAGGGATGAGGGCCTGATGATAGTCACGTAATTCTTTTTTGAACTTTTTTCTTTAATGTTTTTTTAAGGATTTTTTAGAGGCTGAAAACTGATCAAAATAAGTCAAATTTCTATGGCGTCTCATCGAAAATTTTGCCGGCTACGTCAACTTGGCCGAATAAATACCACTTCCTATAAGCCATCAGAGAGATGGCCCCCTGATCGAAGAGTGATCAGTTCTAAACGAGCATTTTACTCAAGCACTGGCTCATTAAATTCTTGGCCCCTTCACATTGATCAAATTTTAAAAGCAAATATAGACTTCGAGATTAACGCATCGCAAAATCGGATAAATGAGCGTATTTCTAACATGCAAATACAGTATTTTAAACGGTTCTAAAGAAAAGTGATAGGTTGACAGAGATTATTGTCAAATCTGAAAATTGTCTTCGGGGCGCCTTTAAATAATTCGCCCTAAGAACAGATTTGTCATAACATCTCGCCGTTAAAAGCCTTTTTAGCCGAGTTTGCACGATAATAGGCGTTCCAATCGGCCTTGAAAAAATGAACTCAAAGCTGAAAGTTTGAAAACGAAGCGAATGTTTTCTTAGAAAGCTTCTCTTGGAATCACGTGCTGACTCACTCGCTCTTGAATATCTCATTTTTGAAGATACCAGCTGTGACAGTTCTTAGAAAAGAATCTGCCTGTTCCACCTTTTTTATTCAAAAATATTCCACAAGCGACATTTTCAAGTGGGTTTTGAGTAATTTCTATTATGAAAGAAAAGATCTAATATTTCTCGAAGTCGTGTATCAGCCAAGAAGGGAGGAGAAGAATAAACCGCATAAGAAAAATGTTCTCCTACGTAGGCCATATCCGCTTTCCTGGTTTATCACAAAAAATTAACCGGAGGCCGCACCTACTAATCCCTCCTGGATACGAACATCCTTCACCTTATCACAACAATCCCCCTACTTTAGCCCAAGCAGCTCAGAGAGTGATTCACGTGAAATCTTTATAAACTTTCCTTATCTACAATCTGTCAAAAAGGAAGAATTTTTTAAGCGACAAGGGATTTTTAAATTTGGAAAATGATCAATCAAAAAAAGCAAAAATAAAATATGTCTTAAAGCCAAGTTTTTAATGATAGGTTCATTGTTATGTTAAAGACCTACAGTAAGGGCGCATTAATACAGAAAGCGCTACTTACTCTGGCCGAAATATGGTCGCAAGCGGATGTCGTAGAATCGCGGATCTTTACAGGTTGGAAAATTATGTTTTCGAAGAAAGAAACTTGATTAACTTAACTATTTTTTCAATATTCGGGTTCAAGATGAATTTCAACGAACAAATCGAATATTCTTTAAATTAAATTCCTATCTCGTCGCCTCAAGAGACAGAGAGAGAAAGCGTTATTTTCATTTTCAACCCTCTTGGCGAGCATGCGGTCCAGCTCTTCTTTTAAAATTTGCTCCGTCGCAATCTAGGATACAATTAATTCCAGCACAGGCGATGATTAAAATTGGCTATCGCGGTGGTGAGAGGAGCAAGAAATAAAACGGAAGACGAAAATTTAACCATTTGCAAAAAATAATGACGAGTGGTATCTTTTTGGGTTAGAAAGCGGCTGAAACGGGTCGTAATTGCTGTTTGCGCTAGATAACGTCACTAACAGTTATTTGTCACCACGACAGTGCCCCAAAGTGGTGAACCAAAATTACGAGATCAAATGCAGTAGATGAGTCATCAAAAAAGGACCGCATTTATTTTTGTTTTTGGAAAGTTGAAAAATACGTGGCCGGAAATTTGCGCCCGGCTTATATTGCCGGAGGTTTCTTCCGGTTTTCCAGCGCTGGGTTACGATTTACAGCTATCTGCTAGTACTCCAACCTAGTCATAGAAGGGACGCTCTTACGTACCCAAAGATAGACCAAAATACAAACACAAAATATTGTGGAGCCTTTACGTTAAATAAATATTCTAGTGCTGCACTCAGTTCAGCCGTCTATCCGTCAAGAAACCTTTCAACTCTTGCGTCATCTGCATCTTTCCTTCTTTCATTTTCAATTTTACAGTAAAATTTAAGAGAGAATAATCATAGATCATTTGTTCACGTTTTGAAGCACTATTGCTTTTGGCAAATTTCTTACGAAATGTTATTTTGCTATTTCTGAATAAGCTCGTTCTATTCTTACAAGGAGAATTTTGAGTTGGCGCTTGTTATTTTTGTCTTAAATATTTGATTTTGTCTTAGTACCAAGAATGTCCAAGAAAAAAAATCATTACGTTAGTAATTACTTATTACGCAATGAACAATAAATAATTATATTTTATTTTTTTTCAAATTATAAAGAAACATTAATTTAATAAACGAAGAAAAAGGTAAAAAATAAAAATTAAAAATCAAAGTAATAATTTAAAAACCAAAAGTGCTGGTCGGTAGAATATTTCTGCGGAAGCCGCATTATGCGTAAAATCTCCTTACAGAACGTGCCAAGCTTTCTACAGTAGCGGCCGGGCATTAACGATTTAGTGGTTTCTTCAAAACATAATTATTCAAGCGAAGGAAAACAATCTTTGGTCCATTGGGGATCTTCGAGAGTGGCTCCTTTTATCAGCCGAAATAATATTTTTCGTTTAATTTTCTTGTCCGGAGGTCGAAATTGGCGATAACACGCCGCAAATCACTTTTTAAAATTTAAGTTCTTTATATCTTCTATCTAAATTGCCTTATCACTTTTCTTGGAGCTCGTCGAAAAACAGTATCATGTTTCTAATGAATTGATGACAAGCCCAAACTATTTACGTACGTGTTCGGTCAAATATTCAAAGAATATTTGGCTTTGATTCGGTAAAAATTCAATAATACGGCCACGTAATTTCTTCTTCATTCTTTTGAGTTAGATTTTGATTTGATTGAATGCTTGGAAAATCATTTAAACTCCGATAGAATTGATTTACAACACAGCTTCTGATAAGAAATATTCCACGTTTCCAAGTCTCAATAATATGCGATAAGAAATTTGCTAAATTCCTCAGAGCAAGTGAAAGATTGAGATAGCACGAAAAAGAGGTTCGGTACACGTAGTCTTCTAGTTTTTAATCGCGAACTTTCATCATTTGAAATAAAACTTGGTAAATTGTAAATTTGATCTGTGTGAATCAAATGAAAAGGTTCTATTCGGCTTTGACGCAAAAATCCGCACGTGACCGGTGCGCAGGGTGAATTTACACAAACTTGATTTTTTTTTTCAACGCATTTGGTACCTCAAGAATCTCTGCCAAGGAGTTTTTTTTGCAAAATTTCTTACGAAATTGAAGACTTACGCACTTTTTCGCCGAAAATTGATTGATCAAATTATTCATTATTTTCGAGAAAAATGAGTCTTTCTATGCTTCCGCGAAAATGCAGAAATCATCTTTGGCCGCATAACTCGTCGCGACTCTTACCTCGTCACATTTCTTGGTCTTTGAGATGTCGTAGTAAAGCTCGTTGAGCGCGGAGCTGAGCTTCAAAAAGCTGAGCAACAATTTCACCAGGCGGGACATTTTAGAAAACGACTGTCTCTCGGTTCTTAGAAGCTGATTCTTTATGGCTTTCTGTCAGATAATGTGCTAATTTAAGGAGGGATGACCATTGGAGGATGAAACTAATCGATAATTCATACAACGCACAACTGGAACTGACAAGAATCGATTCTGCGTGTTTTTTTTCTTTGGAGTACTAATTAAAAAAAAGATATAAGAGGAAAATCTTTGATAAGATTCTTTTGGTTGTCACTTTATTTACAGAATGAAGACAGATTTGGAAGTTTTATTTCAGTCGAAATTTGAGGAAAATGGCGGATATGAGGACGACAAGAGATAGCGCTAGAATAATGTACGGACCGAGCATTCGGCCTTCGTCAGGAGCAGTAGAAGTCACTAAAATGACTCATTAAATGCAGTTAATTACAGTATGAGTAGTTAATTAATGCGATTATCGCCAGTAAATTGAAGTATCCGGATTTCTCACTATCGTAGTAATGAGCCTACTGTATGTCCGCTCCGATCAATTTCACAGTAATGCCAACTGTAAGCGCTCATTATGTAAGTTCAGTAGCGTGCAGTGACAAAAAATTGAAAATCTAAACATGCGGTCGTTTCGGCTACTTACGAGAAGAGTCTTTGCGCGGAGAAATAACCGAAACCGTCGCGGTGGCCAAGATTTCGGAATCGTCGATGACGCACGCGTAGCTGCCATCTTCGACCTGCGTTGAAAGCGGAAAAATGATCTTGAAAAAAAGACATTTGATTAAGTCAAATGAAAAAAAAACCGCACCTTAGAAATGTATTTGAAGCGGTCGAAATGGATGATCCTCTCTTTAGGTGAATGAGGATTGTCGATTCTACTTTGATTGAGAGGAATAATGAACCACTCTTCTTCGATTTGAGAATGCTCCCACCTCTTGAACTTGAGCTGAGACTCATCAGAGGAGAATTTGCGAAGCCAGGTTATTTTTGGAGGCCATTTGGTGCTGTAACAAATGAATTAGAGGAAGTTTAAATTCGGTCACTGAAATTCAGTGAACTTCTAATAAGGAAGTTGCTACATGACCTTCTCATTGACAGTGGGATATCTAGATCTCATATCGATTTGTCTGATACGTATCTGCTGACTTACAATTTGTCGTCGAAATAGCTGGTGCAAGAAAGGATAATTTCTTCGCCAAAATATTTGACCTGATTTCGAGGTTTTGGACCCTCGATTCCAATGATGCTTCTTGCCACTAAAATATTCGTTATAAAATTGTTTTTCTCTTTTATTTTCGATAATAAAAAGGCCTTGAGTCGTTTTACAAAAAGATTTCTTTGGTTTTTATTTACCCATAAAAATTCCCTTATAAATGATTTTTACCTGTTGACTCAAGTAGAAATACTGTGAGAAAGAAGCAGGCGTGTGTTTTCTTGTTCATGAATTTCTCGTCATTATTTTCTTGATTTAGATGTTCTTCTGGTCGTTTTTGAGCGTTCTCTCCTAATTGATGTCTTTTTCAGGCGACGGATGATCCGAGTTTTGTTTGGAAAGACTAAACAAAGTTGCAAAAATGCGAAAAAACACAAAGCCAAATACTAACAAATATTGCGCGTTCGGGGCCAATTCTATTTGCTTTTCCAGCGCTTATCACTCGCCCCAGGGCTTTCTTATCTTTTGCTTTTCCTTGGCCTGGGGATTAAGGAGACACTACGACATTGAATATTTTTCGGAAAAAAATTTTAGGGGTCGAAAAAAGGGATTTTTCTTAAACAATCTCTCTTTGATGAAAAAAATTTCGTTGATTTGAAAATTCTCTTTTAATCTGTTGAATCCTTCCGGAAAATTTGCCTTTCCGAGAGGCCCCTTAAGGGGGGCAACCGGGAGAATAATTCTGTGCACAGAACTATTCTGTGAAAAACAGAATTATTCTCACGATAAGACCCCCCCTTTCCGGGAGAATAATTCTGTGAAAAAAAAATTTTTTTTGGCGAAAACAACTATTATTCTGCCAATGCAGAAGTTGTTTGCTGCTAAAAATGAGTCCCAGCGGTAGAAAAAGACTGCCCCTGCCAACCCAATGAGTTCTCTATCAGAAAATGCGCGCAAGGGCCGTAGGCCCGTAGCGTGCTTCATAGCCTCTTCGGTTCAGCTTCTATTAACAAACTATAATTGTTATAGATTGTTTTTGGCTGCAGGATTCGAAGACCAACTAAAGTCAATCCTTTTCCATTCTAAGACATGAGTTCCGAAGTATTATAAGCTATCTACGACATAATCAAAGTAAATTTTGCTTAAGCTCGACACAGAATAGTTCTGTTTCAAACAGAATGGTTCTGTTTCAAATAGAATAGTTCTGTTTTTTCACAGAATAGTTCTGTTTCCACAGAATAGTTCTGTTCACAGAATTATTCTCCCGCCCAGCCCCTTAAGGGGGGGGGGTCGACGAGAATTTTTTCAGAGGTGATCGTAATTTTGCGTATACACATGGTCTGTGTCTGAATCTTATATTTTTGGAATCCTCAGATCCTCACGAATCTGTTGAGCCTAAAATCATTCGATAAAAATAAGATTTAAGGGGTCAAATGAACAAAAATGTAAAAAAAATGACTATTTTTGGTGCATTTTCGCGAAAATGCCCCTACTTTGACGGCATTTTTGACCGATTTTTTCTGGGCAAAATTTTTTCTACTTCTCGCCGGTTAATTTTTTCAACCCTTTTCTTTTTGCAAGTAAATTCAGATTTTGCCTATCTGATCAGGTTTTCCCGCATTTTTGGTCACGGAAATCCCGATTCTCGTCGACCCCCTCCTTAAGATTATTGCCCATGCACAAAGGCAATCTAATCTTTATAAACGCTTATGTTTCCTGACGATTGCATCTGACGTTGCGTAAACACTAAAATCTCTTACCTTGCTTTTTTCCGCTTTCGTTTTGAGTTTTCCTTTCGAGTTTTGATTCTCTGGATTATTTTCTTAAACAAATTATGGCAGTGGTGTGTACTCTGGCATTTTATTCTCAACAATGGCTTCTGCGCTTCTTCAGAAATTTCAATTGATTCAGAGTCACTCAACGCTTCTTAATCTCTTCTGTTCGGCCCAGAAGACACCTGCCGGAACGCCAATTTCTAGTGACTCAGCTTTCCCATGATAATTAAGAGTGACTACCTACAGTACTTATGATTCCAGTGCAAGAACGCTGAAACACAAAAACAAAGCAAGAACACACGGAAAAACATTGTTAATAAATTCATTGAACACATTTTAGAGGATTAAACATCTGCTGCAGGTAGTTTTATTTATTGATCTGCTCAACAATCAAACTCAGCTTGAAAATTGCCTCCTAATTGATCATAACCTGATGTTAATTCACTAATAAATTCGATTGAAGGAGCGCCCGCCGAAAGAAAACAAATTGTGCTTTTAACCATTTAACCTGCTCACGTTGAAGTCCTTTCAGAGCGACATAAAATTGGCATGAGGCAAGTTCTTGTCTGTTGCCTGTCCTTTGTAGTTCGTAAAACTGTATTGTACAACTTGCATTTTTAGAACAGACTTGAAATGCTTTCAAAATAGTTAGACTTTTGGCTAAGGAGGCTCCAGAAAAAAATATCTGCGTAAACAGTGCCTCTTATCGCCACTGATAAAGAATTGGCAGAGCATATTTCGATAATATATTCTCAGTCTTTCGAGCTTTTAGAGAGCTTTTATCATAAAAAAGTATCACAGCCTGAACATGATTTTGACTTGTTTAGTTTCGCATTTATTTGGCCGGAGATTGTTCCAACATGAATTTAAAAATATTGAGGCTATATGCGCCAAACTGTCGGGAACATATTTTTCCATGGTCAAATCGTTTCCTCGGTCCAAGTTCAAAAAGCCTTTTCATGGAAAAATGTTTTTCGTATTCAATCCACCTAAGTGACAAAATCGGAAGGAGTGGTTTTCATTTGCTCAGGGTGCTCTCGAAACATGCCGAACTTCATTTTGGAAAGTGTGCGGCAGAAATTTACGTGGCAATTTGAAAAACACAGGGAGAGATGTTCAAGGAAAACCATCATTTTCTCAGAAGAAGGGACGGGGTTGTTTATTACTAGAACTATTGGGACTTGAGTGGGTGACAATGCTAAGTGACTGCTTCAAGGAGCGGCCTGTCATAAGGGGCAGCCACACACAAAGAACTCGAAGTTAATAAAAAGGAGAGGGCCTTAACGTGGGACCTTTTTGAGTTGAACTTGTTGGCCTGCATCCGGAAGACAAGCACAACCGGGCAGACAGTAACGCATACTGAGTAGCTTCGATCGAGGGTTATTCAACGAAGGACACGGCAAGTGAGCGATTTGCCAATTTTAATTTTTGATAATCCTAGGAGTATGCTAATCATTGATTGAATCCTCGTCATTAGTCGATTATTAGCAAGCAGGAGCCAAGTGGCAATCTAGAACTCTGCGAAGAAAACTTGTCTGTTCGTCAAAAATTTGTCATTTATGTCTGCTTCTGAGAAGAGAATCTAATTTGGAATAGCATTTTTACGAAAATGGAGCCAATTAGAATGACGGGCTGTCTAATTAACGACGTCTCAGACGAATCTTTCCAATGGCAACTTTTGATCATCAATTTGAAATTGAAGGTCAAATTGTGTTCGAAAAAATGTAGACAGAATCGTAATTTTTTTTAAATTAAAAAATTGAAATAAACTGTTTTTAAGCTAATTTGAAAACGAAGAGATCAAAGCTCAATGTAAAAACACGACTGTAAGACTTGGTGAAGAGAAGCGTGAGAATCTTGAGCACCGTAAAACAATGAAAAACAACAAAGTGCTCAATAAACAACTCGACTCATTTTCTTCTAAAGATGCAGGTGACTTTGTTCTTCTTCTCTCGTTTTCTGCCTCTTCCTCGTTTTCTAGCAGTTTTTCTTTTTTCTACGTGCTCTCTTAGTTGCGCGTTTTTACTCAACTTAGAAAGCGCTAGAATTTTAATCGATCTTCGTTTTCTCACTGGCGTCGGATCAAGATTTATTAACGAATCTGTTCAAACCTTGGAATGTGCTCATTTCACAAGAATCTCTCCACCACGCTTTCTTAAGAGCATCCAAGGAGATGAGATTTTATAAAATGGATCGCTTCATAAAAACATCCGTCTCATTTCTTTAGCGAACCGAGCGTAAACGAGGTCGGAGCTCGCTCGCGCCCACGGGCTACAAAATCTATTGCCATCGTTCAGGGCGGTCCCTCGAGCCCGGTTAGCTCAGTCGGTAGAGCGTTGGACTTTTAATCCAACGGTCGTGGGTTCGAGTCCCACATCGGGCGCAGCTTTTGAAAAATTGCCGAAAACTGGAGCTAGAATAATTTATTCTATTGCAAGAAAGCTGTGTCGCATATAAATAGCAGAACCGCGATTTTGCAAGGGTTCACTTGACCACACAAGATAAACCTCCTTTTTCGTCTGCCGCGCGTTGTAATCGAGTTTGTACGGGCTTCTAAAAAGTGAAATGAGCACCGCAAATTCGAAACCTTGCTCACTCTTCAATTCAAAAGTTAAGGTTGTAGACCTCAATTAGCATTTCACAATATTAAAATAAAAAGCCGCGTAGCGGCTTTAACAAAGTCGAAACAAAAGAGCGGCTTTGCCGTTCTTAAAAAATCGCCTTCACTTTTGCTAGAACACTCATTGTCAGCCGCTGTTTTTTTAAACAGCTAGAATTTCTGCCGAGCGATCAACAATCGTTTGCGTCGCATGCCAATTGTCATCGAGAACGTGTTGAACGATAAATTATCACTGGGCAGCTTTCTCGGGCGCAATTTCGCCTGCTCCGTGGATTTTCGCGAATTAAGGCCAGGTCAAAGCAGAAACAGTAGCGAGAGCGATTTTGGCGGAAAGTGGCCTTCCGCGGCGATTGTTCAATTTTCCGCCACGCGCGGATTTTACAGCTTCCAAAGTTATTTTTCACCATCCTTTTTAGAGCGCTCATTTTGGACGCCGCTCATCACCTTCCGCTCCAAAATACATTACGCTCAAAAGTCAGCTTAAAAACCTCCTCGCAAAAATCTGCAAATAAGAAAAAAAAAACGAAAACGAAGTCTAAATGCGAATTTCACAATTGTCACAATTGTCGTCGATAACATTCAAATTCGCGGTCGCGCAAACTTGGCCGAATGGAAAAACGAAGGTTACCAGCGACCAGCGAAAGAATTAGAATGATGGATTTGCCGTCTGAGATAACTCATTTTCGACGCCTCATTTTTCATTAAATCATTGAGGAAGCGAAAATATAATACTTTGTTAATTAAATTAATTTTAAAAAATAATTATTATAAATTATAATAATCATTTTTTATAATTATTAATTAAATAAAATTAAAAAAATAATATTAAAATTAAAATTAATAAAAATCTATTATAATTTATAATTATTCAATATTTGTATTATGGAAATTTCATAGAACTGTTTCACGACATCTAAAATATTATCAAATGTTCAGGAGATTATAACCGCTCCTCAAATGATCTACATGAGCTAAAGTCCGCCCGGCTCGTCGAAGATTTCCCAAATTTCAAGCCATTTCGAGTTTGGAACAGGTTCTTTAATTTGATTTGAAAATTGCCTCCACGTAGCTCGAAGTAAGTTTTTTTGTGGAGCGGGCAGATGTTTCCGAAGTGCATTTTGATAAGAAGTAGAAGACACACAAGCGCAGCTGCAGAAGAAATTAATTTTTGCTCGAACTTACCATCCACCAATTCAATTTGGGACAAGCTCGGCCAACGTCAGCTTGAATAACATCGCCCAAGCTAATCCAGTCATTCTCAGTTGCCCGCCTAAACGATCGACAATTCATCAAAAATTTTGATTTTCCTCGATTTTCGGAAATGTGCAAATTTCGCCGGGTTCTTGAAGAAACACCACCACGTTTTTCATCAGGAAAATTGTCGAAAACCGCTCCGTTTGTCAGGCGATTTAATCGTCTTCCGCTGCCGAAGCCGGAATGAATAAGAAAAGAAAGAGCGGATAAATTAATTATGGACAAAAATGACACCTTGATTGTCACAAGTCCACTGGCGAAGCGCTTTTCAAAGAATCGTCATTTCAGTTCGTCAATTTTTTCACGCCTATTTGGTCAATTGCAATCTTTGATAATTTATGAATTCAAGATTGCTAAGGCTCTTAGTTGAGGAGATAAGGGGAATGAGGTGGTCATTATTTCTGAGCCGTGTTGAGTTAATTTGAACGAGTCGGATATTCAACGACTGGCAAGTTGATTAGCATACGGGATGAAACGAAAAAGTCCAGATTTAGAAATAACGTCGCCTCAGCGTATTTTCAAACAAAACTTTGTTGCCCAATGATAGTCATGAAAAGACGAACTTACAGTGCGTAGAATTAAGGGACTTTACCGGGGATGACAATTTGAAGGGACTTTTGGGGGAAATTTGATATTTTTCATAAGGATTTAATAGATCACTTTAGTACAGTGGATCATACTTTCCGTTAAGTTTACTGGTGTTCCTTTTACTGTCATAAATGAAGATAAAATCGGTGAGAAAGTAAGATCACTTTTTTTCTGAACAAAGAGTTCTTCTAAATCAATCCCTGGGAAGTGCTGCTGACTTTCTAGCTGTATATCCGCTTGTTCGCAATTTCGCGCTGTAAGTTATAACCTATCTAAGACACCTTCTCGAAACTATTGTCATTCACGATAAGTTAAGGCTTAGAACGTGTGGCGCGTTATGCAAGCCTAAATTAAATAATAAACTAAAAATGAAAATGTCTCTGTTTTCCATCTCTTCTCTAAATATTTACTGGATTGCTGACCTGGTGGTATTTTGCCCAAAAACCGCCCAGGACAAAAGGCCCTTTTGGTTTTGGCTTTTCTTAGAACTACCTTAATTTCGACTCTTCTCAGGTTGAGCAAGAACGGTATTCAAAGCTGAGTTTTTCATGGTAGGATAACACAAACGCTAGAATTTGAAGCTAGAATTCCTTTCTTAATTGTTATCTGTCTATTTTTTTTTTAACAAAAGTTCTTGAGTCAAAGGGTCAAAGGTTTTTCGTGGCTTTTCGTTCAGTTAAAATTCGAGTTATTTTGAGAGAAAAGACAGATAAGGTGAAGTAACGTTCGAATTTAAATCCATTAGAATCTGATTCCATTCCACGTAACGCGCATTTTCCGAGGTGCGATAAAGCCCCTAAACAACGCAAACAAATCGCCTTCCGCTCGTCATCCTTTTCGCTTTGAAATTTCACGCTTTATCTTGTAAAAACTCTAAAAAAAATGTGTCTCATTTTATTGAGGAAGTTATAATAAAAGATCGTGATTTTTTATAATTCAAAAATTGAGTCTCTAAAATTCCTTGAATGGATTTTTTTTAAATAAAACAAATCTGCGTCTGTGAGCCCCCGCTGCGCTATTATCGGAGCAGTCACCTGCCGCGGCGTTAATTCTTCAAGATGAAAGTCTCGTTTTGATGCGGCTCTTTCGTGAAATGATACGGGTTTTCTAGCTACGGAAAATATCGTTCACAGCAAATTGATGGACTGAAATGAAGCGGTACGAGTTTTTGATCGGGAGATACTAAATTGTTATTTTAATGATTTCAACGATTTCGGAAGCGAAAATTTTTGAACAAACAAATGAGGCAATAAAATTGTTTTTTAAGAAAAAAAAGGATAATTGCCAAAAAAGAGGGCTTTTTGCGCAAAGAGGTTAAAAAAAGACATCTTTCTGGAAAATAAAAGCAACTTTCTAACTCGTTTTCTGCGGTACGTTTCCCGCGAAAGCCCACCAATTAAAGTTAGCATACAGATGTCCTCTTTTCACATTTTCGACAGGCTGGAATCCTTCTTCAAAAGCGCATTCTTTCTGTCCGTTTTCGTCGCTCTCGGTGTTTCCTGCACGTTGACTCTGAGTCACGTGATGCCACGAAATGGTAAGTGAGTAAAAACCTTAAGATTAAGTTGGGCTTCCAGTAAGGGATCATCTGCGCGTGAAGGTTTCTTGTTGGGCAATCTAATTTTCATCCAGCTTGATGAGCGCGGCTTTCTCAGGTTAACTCCAGTTGCAAGCCCCCTTTTTCTAAAACAGCAGGATTCAACCATTCTCGCTTCAATTAATTGCTCAATAGACGCCATCTACAAGTAGGCCGAGGTGACTTTTTGCACTCAAATCATGAAATCATGATAGTCGTGAGTAAAACAAAGTGATTTATTAATCGGCTAAAAGCGTAAGTAATCATGTAAACAAAGTTGCGAAAAGTTAACCCGGCAACTGCTGAGATAAATATCTGTATCTTGTTCATTTTGCGTCATTAGCCCGGCGTTAATCCCACCTTACTTAATTTGAATTTGATTTTAATTTTAAAATTGTGAAATTATATTTAAAGCTCACGAAATTTCACAGCTAAAAGAGCGCTTAGATTTCATTGACCAAAAGTTCGGAAAAACGTTCCAAAAAGATGAGGCGATACTGTCCAACAGCCAAGATACTGTAAATTCAAACACGTCGAATTTTCAAAAATGACAAGATAAGAACTTGTGAACTTGTCATATTTCTGCATATCTTATATTTCTTGATTTTAGACTGGAACTTTTTTTCCTCAAAGGAGGCATTCGCCCAAAAGAAGAATTTTAGCGTAATATTTTTCCTTCGTAAAAAGGGGGATTCTTCAAATTTGAGGCCAAATTCTAAGTAAAAACAAATCCGGATTAATTAATCGGTCCAAGACCAGTAATGATACGTTATGAATAACTTATGATCAACGTCCTTCTTCGTATACTTTCTTGTTCTTCACCGTGAATTTGAAGTCTTCGCAATCTTTTCTTTCCTTTCTGTTTCTCGTCATTTTTAACTCACTGGCTCCGTCTAGTCCGCGCCGTGCTGCGCGGCGCTCTTGAGCCAAAGCCGCGAGTGGTCGCGATCGTCATTGACGCGACTCTCGACCAGCAATTTCTTACTTTCTTCTTCATTGATTCAAAATAAGCCCTTCCGTGCTTTTTCCACCTTTTTGAGTAGCAGCAGAACTCCACAGAGAACGAAAAAAGAACTGACAAAGAAAGAACACACGAGAAATATATTTTCGGTTTATCATAAATACTAGCTTTATATAAATCGAAAACGATGAAGATCTCTTTTCTTTTGTCACTCGCTGCTACAGGCTTGGTTGTATATTTTTCTTGGGAAACATAGATTTTTACCATGCAAAAAAGTGGTCTTACGAATTCGAAAATTCAATTTTTACAATTCAAAAAAATATATTAAAGAGTCTTAAATATCTAAATTCATATTATGTTTTTGTCACTTTAAAAAGGGAAATTTGATCAAACTTATTTTTTCGTAGATAATTTTTACAATTATTTTTTTCAGAAAAAAGTAATCATTTCAAAAACCAATAATTCCGTTTTTTTAGATTCATTCATTTTTATATGATTTGAAGCTTTAAAAACAGCTGTAGAATTCTTTTTTCTTCTCGAAAGTATAAATATCAATTAATATACAAATCATGAAAATATTATTATCAATAAAATTTTATCAGGATTTTAGCTGAAAATTTAAGGAAAATAATTTCTTAAAAAGGTCGGATTTTGATTTCTTGCTCTTTCCCTTCCAACCGGTTCTTGAAAGTGCCTGTTCTGACACTTGCTAAATCAACTATCCTGCCCCTTTTTTTCTAAAAGTGAACTTCCCCGGAAGCCGCTACCTACGTGGCACAGTCAAGGAGCGGCAAGATGCAATTTCGAATTTCAAGTTTATTTGGCGATGATCAGAATAATCGAGCTTTTGAATATTTGGCCAAAATATATCGGCGGCGCTAATTTAATTGAGAAATATTTCGCGCGATCTTCGCCGCTCATCAAAACAAAATTGACAAAAACAGTCGCACTTTCCGATAAAATTTGAAACAACGACAAATCCACGCCTTTTTTTCATCGGTCCGCGATTTTCGTTACAAGCGTTAAATTCTGCATTTCGCTGAATTACCGGAAACATGCGAGCATAAAGAATTTTATTCGGCTAATTCATCGGACTGGGGCTTCGGAACGTGAAATTACGAGCGCTAGAAAATGGCGGATTATGAAAAAGACATCAGAAGCATTGTTTTATCTTTTAAAGAATTCATCATTTTTTCTACATAATTCGTTCATTATAAGACTGCCATTGATGGATTATTGTTCGTAAAACTCATCGCATTTCTCGAATTTCTGACTAAACCCTTGCTCATCTTCAATCACCATATACTAGTCACATGTAAACTTGGCCTAGCTGTCCTAATGCGCCTTTTAAACAAAACAAGCTCAACCAAACCTCTTTCCCCTTGATTTTCCCTGCAAAATCAGAATTAGCCGCTTCGCACCACGCATCTTCACCGCGGTAGATTTCGTTTGAGCTACTGTTTTCATCTTCGCGGTTTTGCCGAGAAGCGACCGAGTCAGAAAATCATTGATGACCCCGTGTTGACTTTAACCTTGAATCGCGAAGCTGACAAGCTAAGGCGGCAGGGCAAAAACTCTACTTCCCGCCGGAAAGCAAGGAATTTCTAAAGTGTGTCTACCGGAAATGGACGAGAAACTTGCTAGTCAGACGCTTCCTACAGGTCCATTTTAACGGATTTTCTTGAAGTCAAACTACGACGACCTCGGTTAGTAAACCGGTAAAGGCATGCCGCATGCGTTTGGGCACGCTCATGACGCAATTTCGAAGCGGCTCTAGAATTCCTATCCGATTACAATTTGGATTCAAGTTTGCCTCGTCCTGGCACCTGTCTGCGTTGTTCTTGCGGAGGGTAACTTCAAGTCTATCTGATTCAAGAAGCAACAAATCTAACGTGCTTACGGTTTAACCTCGTTTAGTCTGGCGCATTTCTGAACTTAGAAAAGGAGAAAAGGTAGATACTGGAACGACCAGAAACGTTACAGGAGCAAAGCGAAGATATCGAGCTAAACGAAAGCTCAGAGTTATCTTAATTCCTCCCCAGGCTCCAGTTGATTAATGCGGCTCTAAAATCCCTTGAGAAAGTATCGCTGATACTGCAGTTTTTCAGAGCTCACAAAGGGAACTTCGGATAGCGTCTTTTCGTCTTTTCAAGTTCAAAGAAAAAAAAATGATACTTTTCGATTATCGAGTCGGCTTGAATTGATGATCGAGAATGATCGATTCTTACAAAAGCGGTTGTCTTCTTCGGCATTCTCGATGATGTTCACGTGATGATACAACTCTCTGAAGGAGTTTAACTCTAACTTAACCATATCATTCTTGTTGACAGGAAAAGTTCACAGATCCTGGGATCCAAGTTGACTGATGTTACGATTTTTGAAGGTCCGAAAAAGCCCTGTCCAAATCATCCAATCATGTCAAAAACAATGTTTCTTTTTTGGTTTATTTGGATAAGTGGCGTTGAAAGGGCCCGAAAAACGTGTCTCGGAAGGCGATTCGGCGGAGAAGAAAGACAAACGGGCGATTTGGCTAATCCAACCGCCACGGTTTGTCATTTACTCTCATTGGCGACGAATGTGATTGACCGCCAAATTGAAGATGAAACCAGCCTTAATCGCCCTTTCCGAAGCATTCCGCATTAATATAAGTGTCCTTTGTTTAATTTAAATGTGAAGATGTTGCCTTCACCTTTTCCTCGAAAACACAAAAAAGTCTTCGAAAATTTTGGCGTCAAATATTGTCTTTGCTTTCTTCCGGTCATTCAAGTTCGATTACGAGTTCGACACTCAGAGGAATATATCTTCCTTGTTTTCGTTTTTCTTATCTCGTTATTTTTTGCTTGATGGCCCTTTTGATGATAATGAAAATTCGGCTTCGCTGGGCAAAATTTCGGCCTTGACGTCCAAACAACGTGCGTCCCCTTGATCAATCAAATTAAAGAGAGATGATAAGAGAAAAATATTTATCAGTCTCAAGTGAGAGCGGCGCGGTCGCAGCGGAAACAGAAACTTGTTCGAAAATACTAGACGTACAGTTTGTTTTCACGTCGCGCCGAGATAAGGCGCGTTTTTCGATCTCTCTGCGAAATTGCGACTTGAGGAGAGAGGATCATCTTTAGAATGCTCTTGACCATTCTTCTCATGGTTAACTTTCAAGGGAAACATTAATGTGAAAGCGAGTTTCTTTCTCTCAAACGAAAGAAAGGGTTCCTAAAAGACCGCATTTGAAATACCTAATCAAGGGTTCAAGCTACTTTTCCCGCTTGGAAGTTATTTCGGAGCAACATCAGTAGAAGAGTGAATTTACTAACCCTAGCCGTCGTAGTTTGACTTCACCGAGAATTTATGAATTTTCGAGGAATTCGCTTTGGGTAGATAATGAAAGTTCGCCCTCTCATTAATATTCGTTTTCGTTCCCCTGACTTGAGGAATATTTCAACTTTAAAAACCACGGGGCTGTCAGAGCCGCCGAGTTTAGAGTGGGCATTTTTATCGTCTCGATTTCGCGAATTATTCAATTATTATTCATTCGATTTCGCATCCTCGCCAAGGGCTGAGTGGAAGACAGCTCGCGTTAAAGGCGAAAATCTGATGAGTGAGTCCAATCTGCGGTCGCAAAGTGCAGCGAGAGATTAACTGGAACGTGCGCTAGAATTCGCGCGAATATGAACGAATCACGGGGGTTAATCGCTCCGCGAGTTTGAATGATTGAAAAATATTTTTTCATGGAGGGTCTAATCAGGGTTCTTTGAAACAAGTCTGACCTGAAGATCAAATCTGAAGGGATTCAGAATAAGGAGCGATAATATTCAAAGCTTATCGGTTCTTCTGCTTTTTAAGGGTACCCCTAACCCTTTCCCGAACCCAAAATTTAACTCTCTCTTAGAAAAAGATGAGAAAGAAGAGTGTTAAGATTTTGTATTCGTAAATCGTCTAAAGCTGTTTACAAAGCATAATCTTGACGGGAGTCGAAATAAACGTGAAAACTCGGTAAAAGAGGGTCTTTAAAATTCCTGAGAACGCGAGAAAATATCACAAAACGAACACTCTGCATTCTAGCGCCAGCGTTTTTGCGTTCTGTCAATTTGATATGAAATGTCTTGATAAATCAATTTGATTAATCAAATTTCGAATCGAATAAAGGCTGCAACAGGCGAGTTCCTTCCATCGACCGCAATTACAGCTATCAGAAAACGTCAGAAGCGTAATTACAGTCGCGCACATGTTTGATAATGAGCTAGAATCTGACCGAGGTATTTGAAAAAGACAAGTTCAATTCGCGGGAATCACTGGCTATGCGAGTTATGATTTTGATCGAGAAGCGTTGAGAAAATAACCCCTCATTTAAAGATTTCATCGATACGCCTACTAAGGCAGCATTTTTATAGAGAACTACAGGACGATCGGAGCGAGTCCAAAAATGTGTTACCAAAATCTGATCCACGTGCCCATTTTTCTAACCAGAAAAGAACTGCGTTGGCTGTCTTTTCCTCAAAAATTTCCCGTGGGTCAGCACTTTTACCACAACAGACCGGACTAATCTTGCGATCACGGGCCATCTGTTTTGCTCTAGAAAATTCCAGGTCTAGACGACTCGCAGTCCAAATTGCGCAAAATTCCGCAATTCTACTCTGTGGCCAGAATCACGACGCTCAAAAGTCCATTCCTAAATTGGGGCGGTTTTGTCGTAATTTCGCTTTTTTTTTCTCGGTCATTTTTAGTCACGTTTTGGTGCGAAATTTCATTCCGTAAAATTACAGTAATGATATAATTCGTCATCATCCCACTTTTTGAAACCGTGATAAGAGTCCTTCTTCGTCACTTATTTCTCTTTTTAATCATCAATTTATTTTTGAAAGAAATGGAAAAGCATCTGCTATCTCCTTAGTCGCCTTTTCAAGAAACCAACATTTTGCGTCAACACTCGCCTGCCTGTGATAATAAACTTGCAGATAGTGAAAAACTTGCAAGAAAAGGGTTGAACTCGATCTTTTGAGTGGTCAAAGCTGAAACTTCCAAGTTCCACGACAAAACGTCCTACTTTTCAAATCGTAAACGTGATAATTTACAAGTGTAGATGAAGTTTTCTGATAATGAAGAAAAAGGGATGAGGGACGTGTTGGAGGATATCCACTCTTCGGGGATGTGACGTGTAGTCGAAATGGAAGGGATATCCCAGAGCAGGGTCCAAAGTCGCTGATTATCTAAAATCTGCGGAAAAAAGGAGAACGATCACGTTCGAATCCAATTAAAATCGGAATCAAACCGAATTGGAATAATTTAAAGAAAAATATCGTTCATCTCGGTAATGCCAAATGAAATTGAAACATTCGATTGTTTTTAATCTGGATTAAACTCGGACCACGTTGCTTTATGAACGAATAAGTACTGAATCTTATGGAGAGATGAATTGTTTTATTGACCCACTCACCCATGGACAAAGATAAGAGCGACAGGAAATGGCCAAAGAGCCAAACGGTAATTAGTTACTTTTGTACACGTTAAAACGACGAAAGTTATCTCCTACGAATGACAAGGTAGAGACACTTGGGCCTGAGTTCGAAAGCGTAGTTTTACGCGAGAGAAAATTGAGCGTGACATTGAAGAATGCGAAATAAATTCGTGTTAGACGCCCGGGGAAATTTTATTTCCGGCGGATTTCTTCCGCTTTCCGTTTCTTGAATCTTTCAATTTTGCCGGTTGTAAACGTATTTTCCAATGATTGATAGTTGTTAACAAAAAGAATTGAAAAAAAATTTTCCATTTTTTTAATCAAAATACTCACTGTTTTCGAAATCAGTCTCTAAATAAAGCCCGCGTAATTAAATAATTAACCTGTGTTTTTTTAAAACGAGCCTGTCAGCTAAAAGCTTTCAATTGAATAATGATTCTTTATTTATCTCATTTACACATATGGAAAATAAAATTTATTTCACGAAAACAGGCCGACTAAAAATAAACAAAAAAGCTCGATTCATTCATTTTCGGATTTGAATTTATTCTTCTGCGAAGAGGAGCTGAGCAGCAAGTAAATGGACGAGCTCGTTAACATTCTAAAGGTACATTCCCGCGCCGGGGAGCTGATCACTCTAGAGCAACTTCCGATTAAAATTCAAAATTACCCGACCTCCAATTACGAAATTTTCGAAATTTTCTTTGTCTTACAGGGACAGAAAGGGAAGCCAAGAATCAGTCCAATTTTCAAGTATTTCTTTCTTCAGCTTGGCCTCAAAACACTCCAAAAACTTCTGAAGTCAAACTACGACGTCTAGGATTAGTAATTTTTCTGATCCAATTTCAATGTCGAAAAAGTGCTGATTAAACTTTTTTGTCGTAATCTTTCGCCTTTTTTCTTATCGTCATCCGACCTTTAATTTCCGCGCACTTTGTTCTAGCCGTGAGAACAGCGCGAAATTCCGAAAATCGTGAAAAAATTCACGCGATCTCCAGTGTTACGAAAAGAGACCTGTGCCGCATTCTTTCATTAATAGCAGCGCCATTCCAATTTTGGAAACGTTCAGAAATTTTTCGATGGGCGAAATTTTTTTTTTTTTCGCAATTTAGCAAACCAAGCTAGCGAGGTGGTTCAGCTGCGCTATCTGCACGGTCACTTCCCTCGCTAAGCACCTGAGTGCGTCACTGCCGATTTTGGAAAAAGTGAAAGTAATTACGACTAAAGGTAACTCGCTGCCAGATGGTTTTAAAATGTTTCTATCGGACAAATGAACATCGGGAGTTTTTCAGTTTAATTCCTTCGCAAAAAAAAAATATTTTAAATTATCAGAAAAAAACAAAACTTAAATACCATTTTATTAAAAAAATTCTTCAAAAGTTTTCAAAGTCAAACTTCAGCGGAAAGCATTTTTAATACGAAATTTTTGTTAACAAAAATTCGCAACCAATAATACAGGCACAGATAGCCAAGCTCCAAACTCGCGGATGGTTCTGACGAAGCTCTCCGATGTGGCTGCCGCTTGGGCCGATTTCTACATCAAGGACGTGCTCAGCAGAGACAACCGCGCGGAAAATTTCAAGGTGAGTCGAAAATTAATTAAAAGCTTAGAACACACTTCCAACGAACCAGTCAAGAGCACCCCCCACTCACTGCAAAAAGGGTTGAACAAACAATGGGCACGAGAACTAGAGCAATTCCACTCATCAAAGTGGAACAAGAGAAAACTCGTTCGATAAATTCAATCTATCTTTTTCTGAAGATCATTTCCTTTAGCAACATTCGAATCTTGTTTTTCACGAAAAACTCGAAGCGTGAGAATATCCTGACGGATGTGCTTTAAAAACATGATTTTGAATAAACTCGATTAAGATGCTCACCTTCCCTTGAAGAACCAAACTGGACCTGTCAAAAATCTCATCAAAGACCCTTACTCTGAAATTTTCTTTCCCGTCCAGTCTTAATAACTATGTCGAGACCCTTAATTAATCAAAAATCGAGAAGAAAAAAAAAAAGAAACTCTAAGAAAGGGATTCTGAAAATCTCACTTTTTAAATATTGTTAGACCAGCCACAGCCACTTCTTTGAAGAGCTCTGAGGTTCGACGAGTTTTATAACTTGATCTTTTTCTCTCAAGCACTAAACGTGCGGATACTCTTGAGCATCAAAGCTCAAAACCCAGTGCTAAATAGGTTTGTTCCTGGCAGGTCGGCGCGGGTCAAATTCCTCGGGTACGTTCTAACGAGAATTTTTTTCTAATAGGCGAGGAAGAGTGTTCAAATTCTAAAATAATATTTTCGGAATTAGTGGTTTTGCTCTCGAACCACGTTTTTCACATTGTTTATGAATTATCAACCGTTGTGAAAAAAGAAGAAAAAATAAAATTGATGTTCAAATTCAAAATTAACAAAAAAATCGTCACACCGCAATTTTGATTCTAAAAACGGCTATTTGGACCAGCTTTTTTTTAAATTAGTGACACCCTTATTTTTTATAAATCGTGTTTTTTCCTGTTTTATTTTTTTCAAATTATGGTATTTAAAAATTACGAAAGCGCTTCAAATAATTTTTTTTCGGTACCAAAAGCGGGTAAGTTATCATATCATTCGTTAATTAAACTGAGCGATAACTAGTGCTCGTAAAACCGCATCAACCCTCTGCGTCGAGTCGTGTGAACATAATTCAACGTGTGCTGCAAATAAATGCACAACACACGATCAAAATTGCTTCTTGCCTCTCATTACTGATTGTATTTTAGCAACGGATCAAAAACAAAACGGATCGGATCGCCGAAAGCTACGAAAAATGTCGAAGGAATGTGGCTAGAACGCGTGAGCTGTATATTATCAGTATAACCTCTTCCGAAAACGAGAACAATTTAAAAACCTCTGAACCCTGATTTTTAGCTCAGAGCTTTCTATTTGAAATAACAGACACAAAAAAGTGAGTCAGTAATGCGACCAAAGTCCGACTAGTTCAACTTCACCTGCTCCTTCATGGAGCCAAGTTTTCGAAGTTTTCCAGTTTTCGTGAATTTTCACAACCGCGAAAATTTTCCGCCCCCAACTTAAAACAACTCAAAGTGACCAGAAAAAGAAACGAAATAATTGTGGATTATTTTGTTATGTAAGAATTGTTCCGCAAACTCGACCGCGGAAAGAGAATTGTTCGAAGTTGGATCGAAATTGGTGCGAAAATTCGTGGTTAACCGGTCTTGTTCCAACAAGGAGCAGGAAGGGGCCTTCGGTGTAATTTTTAATCCGGAAGCCAGCTCGATCCGATTCTAGCGCTCTAATGAATTTGCTGGTAACACTTTTCTATGGAACAGTGATTTACCGGTGTCTTACGATTTTATTTCTTTTTAGAAGAAAAATCTCTAGTGAAAATAAATTCGAGAGTTCGAACTAAAGGTACTTTAAAACGAACTTAAAATACACGAAATTTTCGGTGAAAATTTTCTCGAAGAGATAGGATTAAGGGAGCGGACAAAACATCAACGAACAAATCCGGGTAATTATAATTGCAAGTTTACGTGAGTTAGTGCCTTTTTCGAATGGAATAGAAGGTAACCAAGCAGACTAAAGGCAACGGGTTGTAATTATGTTTTTGTGAGTCGCTCAAGAAGGACCTCGGCCGCTTCCGCTCAAGGCGGGCCCCATTGACGGATTGCAGCTTTAATTTCGAACCTGGAGAAATTCAACTTCCTTTCCAGCGAATTTGCTCGCCGCAACTATCAATACATTTATTTCAAAACAGAAAAGAAAGCCCTTGCTTGAGCTCTTTCTTTTTCTCGAAGGCTGCGAAGCCACGTGGTTAGCCAATTTTCAATATTGAGAAAATAAGCACCGGGGATCCCTTAATTCTCACTTGACGGAACAATTTATCCCTCTTCTTTTTTCGTGGATTTCGGATTTTCTTTTACACAGAAACTCGCCAACAAAATTTTGATTATTGTGCGGAATTTTAACCACCTTCCGCGCGGAAGTAAGAAAATCAAGCACGCGCACGTTTCAAACCACCAATACAGTAAACCACAGTACAACAGAAAAAGAAAGCGGAGAAGTCCTGGAGTGCGAGAACTTGGGTAAGTCTGCGCTAATTCTTATAATTTTCTAGGCCTTTTCTAACGATTTAAATTTTAACCCGTCTGGGCTCAAAGGCACTTTATTGTCATTTTTTCTAACATAGCCCTCAAATCACTGATATATTCTTTTTCTGTGCAAAATTTAACAAATCTTCTAGTGGTGGAAACCTGTTTAACCCCGACGGAAGGAGAGTTCACCAAAAAAACTTCAAGTTAGAACAAATTTCACACCTTCCCAAAAAATATCAATTCGATTTATTAAAATTTCGCGCTGATGATTTCGTCCTACGTATGATTCATCTTTTCCTTGAGTGAGTTTGTCGCGCCGCAGCTGAGGAGTTCTTCCAAAAAATTAACCAGCTGAGTTCTCTCTCTCTCTCGGGCGAAAAAGCAAGTTCTCTTTTTTAATTTAAAAATTGAAGATCTTGAAATCCACGTGAATAAACAAAACCTTAAAAAATCAAAGGTTAACTCGATAAAGCAAACTCCAGGATCCAATTCCTCTGGATCCGACTAGAAGCTCGAAGCAAATCTTCAACAACTTGAGAAACTGGATTTGGGAACACATGGACGGATGTCGCCAGCAAGGAAGATTCTGGCACAAACTTGGAGTAAGATCTAAAAAAGACAGAAAGCAAAATTTTCAAATTTTAAATTTCGCGGTGTTCTGTCCATTGATAACAAAACCTCAAATAGCAACCAAAGATTATGTTGAACTTGGTCTGAAAATACTGATAACTAGATAGATATGAAAGCTAATTCTTGAATTCTAAGCAAAAAAAACCTGAGTTTTTTTAACAAAATTTTAGCAATTGGAACAAAAATGGCTTGGTGTTTACGCAGATGTCTTGGAAAAAGTCGATGCAAGAAGATCAGGATAAAAAATTTTAAAAGGGAAAGCGGCTTAAAAATTATTTAAATTAGTAATTTGATATAAAATAATAACAAATGAGTTTTATCTTCATATGTTTAAGAAAATAAACCGCTGAGAGCTTCAGAAATATATTAGTTGTAAATTTTTCCAGTTGACCCGTCCATGATAAAATCGCTTTTGGTTGAAATTTCGAAGCAATTTTTATATTTAAAATTTCGAAAATTCAATTTTCAAAACCAATTATTGACACCAATATGTCTCCTCGCCCACGTTTTTTCAAGCTTCACTGCCGCTAGAATTTTTATCCAAAATTTTTGGCTAAAAATTGGTCATAAAAATTTTAGCTTTGTTTTTGAGTGAAAATTTAAGGTTGATTTTTGAGTGGAGGAAAACCATTGCTTTAGTTGGCGCAAGATTTTCAACTTTCATTGCGAAAAATTAATCTCAGCCAATCAGATTTCGAGAAATTTGTGCGGAAGCGCGCCATCGAGCAGCCCAATCAAAATCGTATATAAATATATTCGCCCAACTTTCGATTTGAAATTTATCGCTGGGTGGCGCTGTTTTTGCACATCTGATTGGCCAACTCAAAAACTATCAATCATGTAAATACTAATTTGACATACAAGACTAACACAAACATTCAAATTCTGTATTTGTATCAAAAATTTTAATTAATAAAAGGGCGGAACTCTTAAATTTGAGCTAAAAATCTATAAATAATAATTCATTCATTTTATAAAAATGGCAAATTACTCTCTTTTCTTATCGACTTCGAATAAATTGATTTTCTGGGAAAATTTCTCATTCTCGGAAAATTGAATCATCTCATTTAAATATTGATGTCTGGAGAATATCGCCTCTGGAGAAGATTATGAAGAAGATGATTGGGAAACAGAATGAAGAGCCGTTTATGTAAAGTACTGTATATCCCCCCTTTTGCTCTGTAAATATAAAATACTCGCAAAACCATACTATTCCAACCCGTATCATGATTTTAAGCAAGACAGAAAGAAGGAATTCCAATTTTATTGGTCTGTATTTATTTAACAACGCTTTATTGAACTTATTGCAAATTTAACTTGTTTATCAAGCCTTTACTTTTGGTGATTGTTTTTAATGAATAATCTCTGTGCTGGAAATATAAATGAATTATAGATAGTATTATAAAAGATGGTAGGTAAAGATCGGATTTGTCACCAAGCATGCAGGAGGAAATAAACATTATAATAACGATATTCGGCTTTTTTTCCAATAATGCACATGTTAACGTACTATGATTTTTGTTAAAATCAAAAGAATGAAAGTTGAAATAAATTGTTGAAATATCATCTCAAAGGCACTTTTCTTCGTGCCCCCGCATGCAAGCAAAATTATTACGTGCACGAAATTTATATAAAAGAAGCCCGCCAAATTACAAAATTCAAATTTCGCGCCAAAAGATTTTTCTCTCGCCATTGCCGCTAAGACACACAAACGCCTCCTCATGCCCCCAATCGAAGGTTTTTGCGTTGCCTTGAGCGCGTTGTCTTGACTAAAAGGCGTGTTGATTGGCTTGAAATTTGAGTTTTGAAAAGTTGCCCGCGCTAGAATATGCGCAAAAGAGTCAAAAAATAGCCAGACAGTTAGATAGTTTTCGCTCTGCTTATACATAGTAGGTTGCTGTGAAAGTAGTGTGTTGTTTTTGAAGCCATCAGGTGTATGAGAAGTTGAGGGTTAAGGGAGTCAACAACGATCAGTGACATTTCTTTGGAGGTAAAGTCATTCCTTGTCGGGCGTCTTGTCGATGTAGTTGAGAAAGGTCGCGTCGCCTAGCAGGCAATTCGAAGGTTTTGGATCCCTAAGAAGAAAGTACTTTATGGAACACCACTTGTTAGAAAAGAACAAAACACAAAACGTGTTTAGAATAGCTCGCTGACGCCGGTGCGGGTTATAAAAATCTTCTTACTCGAAGATAAGAATAGTATTACTAAACAGATTAGTTTTAACTTTTAACTTCTGAGCTTTGCTTGACGAAAATCTTGCGATTTCCATTACGCGATAATTTTATTCGAAAAATCGACTTCGATTTTTCAAGCCAAGAATGCTGGACAAGAGTGAACCTTAGTACCTGTTGAAAAGATTGTTCTCTGGCTCGTAAGAAGTCGCGCTAGCCTCAGTTGGTGAGTTGTTATTGTTAGTTTGGTTCTTGGGTTGCATTTGATCCGGTTTATTTTGTTGTGAGGTTGTTTGTTGGAGAGCTTCTGTTGCGTTGTGTTGGAACATTATTGACGACTCAGGTTCAGACTCGGTCACGATCGTGCCCGGCACGTTTCTGGGTGTTACAGTTAATCCTGGGGAATCAACAGTTCTGTACTCACATAATATTATTCGATTGAATGACGTAGTTTTCTTGCGTGCGTGAAGTTTTTACAGGAGTTTTTTCGCAAATTTTTTCACTAAAAAAGAGTTCAAAAAGGGACGAAATCTTTTGAAAAATAAAAAAAGCTTCCGTCGAACCGGATTCGAACCAGTGACCTAGAGATAACTGCTAACCCTCTACAGTCTCCCGCTCTGCCAACTGAGCTATCGACGGTTGGGGGAAATGTAAAAATTTGCAATTATGAAAATCATAAAATAGGAAGAAAGAAAGTTACTCCGAAAAAAGTTTGCCTTTGTGGTTATTAAAGCGGAAAAGGAATTATTGCGTTAGTTGAACTGAGAAGCCACAAGCTTATATTTTTTGTTCTCTAAAATAATACGATTTGAAAGCTAAGCAATTTTCTAGTTTCGTTTCTACGTCAACGTAAAATATACTGCTAGTCGGAAATTCTCTAAAGTGCAATAAAAGTGCCAATAATTCAAAAAAAGCTCGAATAGGATAAGCCAACACGTATCCAATAAACGGAATACTAAGATGACGCAAGGTGTATACGAAATGTTCGCTTTGGCTTTTACTGGTGACACCTGGTGCGGCCAGTTGTCGATCCAGGAAGCCACAGACTCCTTCGCTGTAAGGTCGCCAACCTTGACAAACAGAAGGACGAGTTGCGGCTGTATTTTTTGACACTTGATGATTCTAGCCCCGTCCTTATGCTGAATTACAACGCATACACTTCGCCTGTCTCCAGGAAGTTCAATCGATTCTGGCTCACCTGATTGTGTCCTCGTTTCTATTCGCGGACTTGATCGAGTTCGGCGTCTTCGAGCCAAAGTGACGATCCGGCGTGTTGTACTGGCTCATTTTCACCTCTGCGAAGATGGAATGCTCTTCTTTCGCCTTTTCCAGAGCTTCCTTTCGCTTCATGTTCTTCTCCAGCTGCTTTTGCTGCTTGTAGAAGTCGCCAAAGTTATTGACAATGATAGGGATTGGTAGCGCAATCACCAACACACCTAGAATGATAATTAAGATCCCAATTCTCAAATCATCGGCGAATGAGAGTAATTTCACCGTTTCTTTACTGTACCTGTAATACAGCAAACGCAGCCGACAATCTTTCCCATCGGTGTTTTCGGATACATGTCTCCATAGCCGACCTAAAAGAGCGTTTTGCTTCTCCCTAGGCCACTTCAAAATCTTCACTTTTGCCTCGCAATTTACGGGCCTTCTATGGTTATTCTTTTTTTGGAGTGATTACGGTACATTCATGAAAATTTGCGAACTTTTGCGTTGAGGCAGAGATTGATTTTGAAGTGGGAGCAGGTTTCTACAGGTAGGTAGATATGGATATAAAGATGGAAAGGAGTACGCATGATATGATAGGGTTGAAAGAAAATGCTGCTAGCTGAAGAAATACAGTTAGAATCGTCTCCGAAGAATCCTTATCCTAACTCTTGGTGCCTTGAAAAAAGGAAAATGAGAAATTAATATTGCTCTTTGAGTATTTCTCCGTCTGCAAGCACTTTCTTATCCAATTGCGTGGCCTCAAAAAAGCAAATCATTAAAACAATGTTTGTTGGAAATGCTGCGGACACGCATTACTATCATAGCTCATCGATTTTACTTCAATATGACTGGCGATTTTCAACATTCGCTGGGCATATCGCAAGAAATACTACACGTTGTGTGGAATGCGCGAGAACTAACAACTAAAACAAGCTCGCCATAGAAGAAATTTTGATTGTCAAAATTCTCAACCACGGCTTCAACAGCTGTTGGGGAAAGAATAAGGACAAAATTTGGTAAAGATGCCAAATTTTTTCGATATTTATCGACAAATGGCCTTTTTAGCTTCTCTTTTTTTCATTATTTTTTTGCGTATTTTTCGTTTTTTTTTATCAAAATAAATATTTTCAAAATTTTAAAAAGTATTTATGCGAAAAAAGAAGCTGAAAATGACCGGAAGAATATATAAATATAGATTGACAAGAATGAACATTGAGTTTTGTCTTAATTATTTTAGGAAGTGTGCCACTGTTAGGGAGGCTCTGTACACTGTAGTACCATAGTATGGGTAATCAAACTCCACCTGAAACGCAAAAGGTCAGTCAGGTTCGTGCGTTTACCGTTGTCATTGTGATAGTAGCCCACCACATCGAATACGGGATCGAAGAGAACATCTCAGCGTTATTTTCCTTCTCCGCGAAGTAGCACAGCGACGAGAAGATCTCAGACCGGTTATTATGTTTTCTCATGCAATTTTCAGCTTCAATCAAGAGCGCAAATCCACGTTGGATGGGCAACCTTTATCGGAAGCCGCTTGCGTGAAACACTTGACTCGTCAAAAGTCCGATAACGATTATTTTTCCGCGCAGACGAGGAAAACTTGATATCGGGCGCTTTATTCACAAACGATAAAAACCGCTTTTCGGGAAAAATTAACGAGTGAAGTGAAAGCCTGACTCAGCTTTATCCGAGAACTATTCTTTTAGGAAAGCCGAATTAAATTTATAACCGTTTCAAAATGGTGATGGCCAAGAAAAGAAGAAGCAGTCCGAGTTCCTCGTACGACCGTTGCATTGTGTAGCCTAAAGATTGAAGACCAGTCGAGTGGCGCGCCAGTTTCAGAATTCGTAAAATTCGCATGATTCGAAAAATCTAAAATAACTTGTTGTGAATTACGCTTTGCATGGGCACGTGGTTAATTGCGCCAGCAAAATGTATACAAGACTAATTATTTTTGAAATATGTTTTATGCATCGTTGTGGGCATTTTACGCGAACTAGAGTACTAAATAAACTTTTCTGATTTTCTAGCGACAGGATGTTTCAGACCGCTTACGATACCCTTAATCTCTGTCTCGGGAAATGGAAGGTGCGAGTCAGAGCCGCGTGGCGGTGTTATTTAAATTGAGCGATCATGTGGTTTGGGGACTTGTGCATTTTCGATGAGTCCGGGTGGCGGTTCTAAAGAGACGCCGGCGCACCACCAAACATCGTTCACCTGCAGCTCCTTCCAATTAATTCCAAGATTATCATAGCAACAATTTTTGCATTCTTACGTTTTAAAAATCGAAATTCTTGAGCTCGAAATTAATCAAAAAACATCGTTAATGGTTGCATAATCTGCTCTTTGGAATCTGTTTTGAAAACTCGAATAGAATAAAATATTTTTTTCTTACCTGAACAATCCGGCGGACGTTTTGAAATTCCAGCAAGTTAGCATTTGACTCGGTTAAAAAGACGGTGATGTAATAAGGCAATATCGCGGTGAGATCTTCATTTCGGATTTAATTTGTCTTCGTTGTTTTTCACAAGTCTGCAAAAACAGAAGAACTGCGAATTTGAATTATTTTACGTTTGTGGTACGTGAATTCACATAAGTCCCGATTTTTCGCCGATAATCGAGTTTTAACGCTTAGATGCAGGTCCCGCCTGACAGATGCAAAATTAAGGTGGTCGAGTATGGAGACTTTTTAAACCGCCAATTTCTTCAGGTTTAGGGTTGATATTAAATCCGATTCCTATGATATTAAGGGGAGACTTGAGAAATCTCCATTTGTCGGGCGAAGCAGCTTATAAAGAGATTCTCGAATATAATTAAAGAGCCTTTGATGATAAAATTATACGAATTTGTCGACTCAATATTATGATTTTAGAAAAAGAGAGAACCAGTCCTAGGCGTAAAACATACTCCATCGTAAACCAGGCAATGCATACCGATTCGATATGATTAAGCTCTGCTTTATCTACAATTCCTGGCTAAAGAAGGAAGCGAACTTAGAGAGTACCTTTGAAGTCAGGCATCGTGTTGAGTGATAGTGCGATTGTTGAAAGTACAATAAATAATACAGAAATTATGGCTTTACCGAGGTTATCGACAGAAATAAGAACTTATAGTTGAAAAACTAACATGATAATTGGGCACGATATTTTGGGTTTTCGAATATCCGATCAAGTGGCTTTCTATTTCGAGCTTCGAATTTTTGCATTACATGCATTTTGTCTGATAACCGCGTTCCTAGGATTTTGGCAGAGAAGCTGGAATTTGGTTTTTCTAGTAGGTCCCACATTTTCTTGCGGCGCGCGACGCAACACGTGACGCCCGCAAATTCGTCTTCCCCGTCGCCGAGTGCCGCTTCTTCTCGGCGCTTCTCGTCCACGATTTGCTCCTTGCGCTGGTGGTACCGGCCCTGGCAGCAGCTCTCGATGTAAATATCGTCAATGCCCCAGTAGTCTAGCTCCTCGCCATATGACAGTGAGCATACATCCTCGGGTATATGTAATTTCGATGTTCTGAAGAGAGAAAAAATATTCGCTATAAATTTTCATTGATTTCATTATTAGTTTCTCACGTTTTCGGCTCCGTGATTTTCGAAAATGAAATTTCAAAAGCTCCAAGTTCGCGTATAGTTACGAGAATAATACTATTTGGCGCGTACGACCACCAATATAGTTTTCGTTTCACATTGGCCGAGCATAACAAATTTACGCCGCCCGCTCGTGTGGCAAAATCAAAACAGTCCCTCTTTTTTTGAGCGTTGAAATTGAGAGTTGAATTTGAAAGTCATCTTTCGATAAATTCAGAATCTCAGGGGCGTAAATATTTCTGTCTCAAATCAAATAGAAAATTTCTGACAGTAGAATTCGTAAACTGAGCAGATTTGACAAAAACAGAGCTTTGTTTCCACGTGGAAAAAGAAGAACTTCTTCCTTAGGAGCCGCTCTAGAATTTAAATAATAATTCGAACAGTGGAAATTTCAAATTAATTATTATCTTATCTCAATTTTCAAGTTCAATTATTGATGTCAAGACCTGCAATTGTCAAAATTATCTCAATTTTAATTTATCCGATTACGTCATAATTTGAGTTTGAGTATCCGATCATTCTCTTTCTGCGCGGCGTGAAAGTTAATCGACTAAGAGATCGTCTGGCAGGCCGCAAAGAGCCGCGAGCTCGTCATCGACAATTCGATCTTCTCTCTTTCAACTTACCTGTAGAAATTGAGGATGGTGTTGAAATAGCCCGGATGCCTGTCATAGAAGATCTCGCCCGTCTCAGGGCAGTAGTCGTCCACCAGTTGTTTGAGATCCCACATGCACGTTGTGTCCCGCAGCATCCCGAGACGCGTCTTAGGAATTCGCGCCAGTGTAGACCATAGCACTAGAAATCCATTAGGAAAGCGAATAGGGAGGTTGAATTGAGTTTGAACCTTGATGTCTTGTGCCGCCTACATTGATGCATACGCGTTTTCGACCCCGAAGATGTTTCTGAAAAAAAGGTTGCAATTTAACATAACCGCTAATCTCATTGCTGACTCGTTAATTTTTGCTTGAACTCAGATAGCTGCTATATTCGAATATTCGAAAAGCCGTGATTACAAGTATGAAATAATTTGAGCCTTTCTTTTGAGCGGGTTCTCCGTCATATTGAGCTTGATTTTCATGGCTTAGAAAGCAACAATAGGAATTTTAGCAAAAAGAAGATTTGAAGAAGTGAAAAAAGCGGTGTGATTTTGGAATTTAAAATTACCTTTATTTTTTCCCATTCAGCGGGATTTTCTTCGAACTCAGCGAGCTCATCTTGGCGTCTGCGTCGTAGCGAGCTAGAGAAAGTTTAACAAAAACCGTTTTCGCAGTGGAGACGTTTTACGCTAAAATTCGCTCATGAGATCGGAGTGGGCGCCCTTTAACATCTTTGTAAACAACCACGGTTCCGTTCTCTAAGTAGGGGCTGGTTTTTAATTGTTCCGATTTGATGCAGCTAGTTTTTCAAACTGGTGAAAAGCCAACGTCAATATCTGCCTTTTCCCCCTTTTCTATGACAAAGGTTTTCTTGCCCATCTCTCCTCATCGTTTCCGTTTCATGATTCCGCGAATTTTCGCTTTGGAAAATCGCGGAAATCCAGCGAAAAATAGAAATAGACTCGTTCTTATTCTTCGAGCTAGATTGAGTTCTTCAACCGAGTTTTCCTCGGCTTTTATTCGATTTCGTTAACCTCTTTAGCCGCCGGGCTGAAGTTGGGCACATTGGCTAGCTTGAAACGTCGATCAGAGAGTCGAATATCTGCGTTTTGCTGAGAGAGCTCATAATTGCGCATTATCGCCGGCTCGGCTCGTGAGAACTGATTCAATTAGAAAACACTAATTCTTGTCGGTTTTATCCGCTAGTGTTAAAAAAGGAGGAAATGAAAAACGACGCCCCGAACATTGAAGTTCTAAAACTCAACTTTGTTATGTCGCTGGCGCAACTCAATTTTCAAAATTATGACCTTGGCGAGTTAAACCAATGTCGTTGTCAAAATTGTTGAAATTCTCACCCCCGAAAATGCGTTAAAAACTTCCCGTTTTTTCGATTTTCTCTTTGAAATTCTTTTTTTTTATGAAAAATTTTTCAATAAATTGGTATTTACCATCGATGTTTCTTGTGTTTTGAGTTTTCTCTTTGAATTTTTTTCACAATTTTTTTGAATTTTTTGCCCATCGAGGGGCCAGGTTCAGGTGCCCATGCGGCCGTTGATGGTAGCTCGATCCGGTGGTAGCAACTCGCGCACGAGCATTTTCAAAGATTAATGTCTTTCAATATTTAAACCTTTCACAACTTGAAACAATAGCTAGGGCGCTTCAAATCTGTTCAGAACTGGGATACGCATTTACATTCTGACATTCTTGTCACAAACAAAAATACACTCCCGACAGACCCAGACCGAAATCCATTAAAAATTAATCGACAGTTTCAACTTTGATTTGCTTAAATTTCAGTTAAATATCTCATAACTGATTTAAAGGTTCTCCGATTTCATGAGCAAAGTTCAAGAGCACTGATGATTCGCGATTCATTAATAATGAATTCGAATCCCTTTGAGAAGGTACTTACTTGCAAGTGAGCGCGGAGCCATTGGATCCTGGGCGATTGGTGTCAGCGTTCAGAGGCGGTCCACTGCGTGGCAGACTGTCACTGGTCTCATCATCCCTTTTGTAGAAACGGTCGTCTTTCAACCGTCTCTACCGTTTTTGGTGAAAATTTGCTAAGAAAAAATATCGATCCAGAAAAAAATTTTTTCAGTAAAGATAATTATGAGCTTTCTCGAGAAATATTTTCACCAATAGCATATGCTCTCGTTTCTTGATAAGAAAATCTGCATCGAAGCGGCCTTCGGACGGGCTCTCCGGGTTATTTGGAGAAGTGGGGATGAAACTCGACGCACTATGGAGAAAATTTTAGAGCCCGGAATTTCGTCTTTTTGTATGAATGAATTGGGAAATAGAACTTGATTTTCTCTGCAACATATCGCGAAGCGAACATTATTTTAAACTTAGTTGGTAACAAAAATAATAGCTGAAGAAAAATGAGTTGGTATAAGTTGGATATCGATTGATAGACCCGATTCCAATTTTGAATACGGGACTTTCTCGGGAGGATTACTCACAAAACCTGTTAATTCAAGTTCATAAGAGAACATAATTTAATCTTTGACTCACGATTCCGATGCGATAGAAGCTGAAAACATAACATCAAAATGATTTTCTATCTATTTTTTCGTCGAAAAATCAGCAAAGACACAAACTAAAACTATATTGCTAGCTGATGAAAGTCTCTGATCTCTAACTCGTGTTTTCCTTAAGATCTACGGTACTGGTGGCTTGAAAAAGAGCCTGTCAGCAAGTCGTTTATTCCCAGTGGTAAGCTGTTTCTAACGTTTCTTTCAACTCTACATTTCAAATAACCATAAGGGCGATCAAGTTTTTAGGTAACCCTCGTTCATAAAAATGAAGAGACCGGAAATTAACGGATAAATTACTAGTATAGCCTATACTGTATAGGAATGACGCCCTTAATTCACCTCGAAATACTCAAAACTGTGCTAAGTTGTCTGCCCTAATGCGTCGGTCCAAAGTGACAAAAAACATTATAACGGAGTTCTCAAGTGAACCGCAAGTATTTGGAGCAAGAATTGCAGCGCCTTTTCCAGCTGCTCTAATGATAATTTTTATAATTCTTAGAACTTGCTTTCAAGTGGCTTAGAGTCTAGAACCCATCACTAAATCAGGCAGGATATTTTCTATTTACCAATCATTGGGCGTTATGGAAGAATAAGCGGGAATCATTTGCCAAGAAAATTAATTATTTCTCTATCTCTACGCATCTGTTCTATTTTTGTTGAAGCAGCCGGGAGCTACAGGAGACAATTAGTACGACAGTTGCGATAAATCTGAGCGAAAGCCAATGTTGGACATTTTAGGAAGCTTGGTTAGCTCGTCGTAAATCTATCACTACTGCCTTGTCCACAAATGCTCATTATTGATGAGACTGCTTATCGGAGCATCAATTACAGCCAGCAGTAAGCTCTTACTAGCAAAGCTACAGTAGTTCGAAAATTAATAAAATCACAGGAACCTGTCGATTTGAGCTTTGAGCGTCGGGCTTGGAAACCTGTGCGAAATCCTGAGTCAGGGTTTGAGGTAATCAAAAATACATTTTTCCAATCCTAGGTCAGAAAGCCCAACCCTAACCCTGAATCTCCCTTATGCGCTTTTTCAAAAAAGCACCCAAAATCACAAATTGAACATAAAAAATGACGCGTAATTGGTTCAACACTAAGCAAAGACCTATTTCCAAATCAGCTCAGAACTTGTAAATTACAGATTTTCAAAACATCTCTAAAAATAGACTTTGTTTCTGAAAATCTAGATGATGTGGAATTTGTGTTTTCAGAGATGGGGTTCTTAGAAAGAAAACTACGAATAATTTTACCGATTTCTACTACAGGAAGAGGCCGAGGCAAGTGTGCCCGTAGTAGCCATGGATATTCAGGAGGCACACTCTGTCTTTCTTTTGGGCACACGGAGTGTCAAATTGAGTCTGAGAAATTATTATTTAACCTTGATCTTTCTTTCTAGTTTACAATCGTGAAACAAGCCGCGAGAGTTGACAAGGGCCTTTGATAACTTTGGTTTTCTGTGGCTTGTTTGATTAATCGTTTTCGAAGAAAATTACTGTACTAGTAATAGATTTCATTTTTGCAGAATATTGAATTTAGTACCAAGAGAAAAAAAAAGACATGGAAGAGAAAAATGGACACTTCCGTGTTAGTCAATAGTTATTTTTGTGAATTACAAGGTGTTAAAGTGAATAAAAACTTTGGTGAACCTGCAGAAGATTGGCGTTAATTACTGTAGCTGCTTACTGTAAGCCAATAATTTTATTTACCAAATAGTCAAATCGGATGTTTTCACGTCTCATTTTCTTTTTCTTTTTGGGAAAAAGACCATTTCTCTTTTTTTTCTTTTCTAAAACCCAATTTCTATTTTTCTGTATTGTTCGAAAATTATTGTGTCGCCCTGTGTTGCCATTTTCTCTCCCTCTCCGCGTTCTGAGGAGCCATCAATTGTGGCTTTGGTGAATGCATTTTTTATGGAAATGTCGAAAAGCTGCAAGAAAAAAAACGCATTCTTTTTTGTTCTCTGACTCAGATTTACCTAAATTTATTGCGGCCTCAGCGCGGTTGGACGCATAAAAAAGGGTCTCATAATGAATTTCTCGTGTGTGCCCAACCTGATATTCAGAGGCCTGCCTGTCCGGCGGCGATAAATGGAACTTGCTGTTCTCTTTTTCTGTCCCTTGTCTATCAACCTTTGGGGCGGTTGGATGTTTTCCTGCGACTGCAGATGATAATTCTACGCATACTGTAATTTACGATGGCACTTCTGGCCTTGGCGTGGATTCTCGTTTATCAAAAGAAAGTGCAACTAGTAACGCGAGCGAAAAGTTTACTGTAGTTGATACTTAAAAATGAAGCCTCAAAATCGTTTTTTGACCCGTAGAATCCATCTCCGGGGTCAAAATTCAAAAATTCCGAAATTTGATTTTTCAAAAAAAGCTGACGGGGGGGCGGGTCCTTAAGAGTTAAGATACCAAAAGAATCGATTTATAAATATTAAAAATAAAAAACTGAGATTTTTTAATATTTCGATTGCACCTTTGTAAAAAACCTGAGTCAGGATTTGAACCAGCGTAGTAGATTTTTCAAAGAATAGAATGGAAATGGTAATTCTAATTTCAACTTTCAAAATCCTGACTCAGGTTTTTGACAGAGGTTGTTTAGCCCAGCCGCTTATTGCCAATTGCTTGTTAGCAATTCTTCTCGATTGGCGGACACTTGAACACGATTGTCATTGAAACTTGTGATTTAAATATTCACAGGAATGAATCCGTCCCTTCAAAGTTGTCTCAAAAAGTTCTTGTTCTTGCTCCGCGATCAAGAATGATTTCAACGGGAATCGAGGAAAGCTCTCTGGCTTCTTGGCTTTGAAAATTGCTCAAACTGGCGAGTGTGTATTTCGTTTTCTTGAAAGGGGACGAAAAGGCGGTGAAATGGGGACCACGGGAAAAGGTGAAGGACTCATGAATTATAGCTATTTGGGATAAAAGATTAAAGAAACGGATAATGTGGCGCGCGGTATTCAGAATGCTAGCAACCATTTTCGACACCAACGCGCCTGCCCGAAGCGCGTGAATAAAACGGTTAAAATGATAAAAGGCAACAAAACTCAAGGCCAAGCAAATCTAAACAGAATTATCGAGAAGGATATTGTGCATTTTTAATCTAGTCTGCGCGATCACTAACATTGCTCTTTATCGACTGTAATAGTGCTTTTCGCTGAAAAAATCATTTTCGATCAAAAATTTTCGTCAATTTAGTTTTTCACTCAAAAAAAATTACGATTTCTATGAAGAAGAATTTCGCTCCTTGAAAAAATTAAGCTTTTTGAAAGAATATTTTTTTAATAATTTGACGAAATCCTTTGTTCAACTGAGTCGGTGCTAAATGCTTAAATCGCTGATTTCAAGTGTTCTAAACACTCAGCAGCTCGGATTTGAAGCGCGAAGATTTGCGAAAATTTCGCGGTGCTCTTCACATAAGAGCTGATCGCCTCTAATTTGATTGAATTGAGCCTTTACTATTCACTTGGACCAGCGCGCTGATGAAACCTTTCCATGGCTTAATTCAAGAGCTGCTTGTTTCAAGCCGCGTTTAGCTCCATCAAACCATCCGGCCTTATCAAAATACGCGCAATGAAAGACCTTCTAAAATCGCAGTTGAACGAAAAATGCAAGCTGCGTAATAAAATGATAAGACGCGGAAATCTGAGCTTCTCAAGCGTCTCAATTTTTTTACCAGGAGATTTCCGATTTGAAATTCTATTCAATTTTATTTTAAATTTCAAAACCTTCTTTTTAAAATTACTTACTTTTTTGTCTCCTTCTGCTCAGTTTTAAGGAAAACGATCACATCCTGGTTGTTAGTCAAAATACACTCTGTCATTTACGGCATAATTTGGTCAAAAATCTGGCTCCATGACTCCTTCATTCTTTCTCTTCAAAAAAGGCTGATTCGTATTTGATGTTTTTATGCACACACAAAATCACATGGCCCCGCAGTCAGTGGTCAACTGGAGAAGCGAAGGGAATCCCGAAGAAATCGGCTAAAGGAGTGAACAGTCCCCTCCGAAATAGCTACTTACTCATTCGGGCTATTACAATTTACGTCCGATGGCGACGCGCAAAAGTCAATTTTTAAAGCCAAATGGTCAAGCTACAGTCGCATTGCAAAAATTAAACGGAGCTGTTATCAATCAAAGAGTTGATCACTCATTAGCCATTAATGTAAGTATACCGATAAGTTATCGCCGATAACTATTGACAAATAAAAAAGGCATGAGAAAATCAAGGAAGAGAACACTCCCCCCCCCCCTTTCCTGACTCAGCAACCTGGGTAAACAACATAAGTTGGATTGATTGGATGTTTCAGAATCTGACTCAGCTTTCTACATAGGTTAAGTAGCCCAGTCTTTTTGACACCTTAATTAATTCTTTCCGAAAGTAGCTTTCGCTCTATTTTGTTTATTTTGTTTTATAATCCTAACGAGTTTATGGAAGGTGAGGAGTCCAAACTGGTACTGATTTGAAAATGAGATAACAGCTGTGACCTAGCGCGGCGGTTCAAAGCTTGAGGGGTAGAAGTGATGGTAATCTAGGTCATATTCGGGACGGGTCCGACTATCAATACATAGGTATTCTCAATATTTATTTTTATTCAAAATCATCAAAGTTGTCAATCTTTTCTTAGCTTAGATTCTTAGCTTAATCATTCATCTCGTATTAATACTAGTTTCGCAGGAACAATTGTCTCACCACTCTGAGCAGCGCGCTTCCATAGACCATGGACCATAGCGTGCCTAAGCAAGGTACTAGATGAAACGGTTGTTTTCCTCATTATATGCTTATGAAAGGTGCCCGCTCCATGGGATTATTGGAAAGGAAACTCCTTGATCAGATAGGTCACACTGTAGTAGCAGGCTCCTTTGGATGGTTAGACAATTATCCCACTTCTAATACTTTCCTATCACCAATCCAGCGGAGCGGGCACCTTCCATAAGCATATAATAAAGTCAAGAATATTATTATCTAGTACTACTACCCTGCTAAGGGACGCTGTGGCAGCGCGCTGCTCATAGTGGTGAGACGATTGTCCCTGCAGCCCACTTTCCCTAAGACTGAGGGCCTCATCCTGAAAGGAGTCATCCTGAAAATTGGCAATTAAATTTAAAAATTATATTTTAAAAGATCTCCTAGAAATATCCGAGATATTTGCCGCCAATTAGGCTCACCAGATGAGCCAATTGTCAAGTAAAAATGAGTTTCTTGTGAAATTTAGTTTGAAAAACTCATATCCATTGAATATTTCTCAATTCTTGTACATTTTTGTATTATATGGTCGAAATATAATTTTCAAAATTCCAGTTTACGTCAAATTATCTCTCTAAGGGGGGTACCGGATGTTGATTTTATCTGCGATGCAGGGCAGTTTACGCTATTGATCCGCCGCACTTGCTCGCATCTGCACGGTCCCGAGACAACAAGGTGATACCACCTGCATATTTGGACTCCTCACCTTCCTGAACCCCATCCTAACGACCAATAAAAACACCTGCGTGTTTCAATTTTCAGTAGTGCTGTGTTGATTAATTCATCCTTTTTCGGCGCCGTGATAAATCTGCCGCTGACATTAAATTAAAGCCCAATTTTTACCCTGTCCGCGATGAATTTTACGAGACCAGAGAGACATCCCTTCCATTATAGAACGAGAGGTTAAGGAGGTCTAAGCCATTGCCAATATTAAAGAATTGGGGTAAAAAAAAGAAATAAATGAGATCGGGGTTTTATTGATATTTACTATCACCCGATTAAAAAAGAGATGAGACCATTCCTATGAGCAGGGGTAACTGGTTGGGTGTTAGGCGTGTCTCTAGCTGCCCAGTTGCCGTACTCGTCATCTTTCCATGTTCGCTTTTCAGGGATAAATATTCAAGCGGCTACCTTTTGCTTATGTATCAAAAAATGAAGCATCAGAATATGTTCAGTTTTCCGAATCCCCGATTTTAATTTTTACTTGTAAGATGAGCCGATTTTTAACCCATCCCTGTATGGAGCTTTTCGAGTTGCCAGTAGTAAAAGCCGAATTTTTTACGGGAGATTTTTCATCTTTGTCCTGAGTCATGAAAATTCAACGAGAAAAACTCATCATCGTTGGTGTTCTTTTTTGGTTCTGCCGATTTCGATTGCTGTTTTTAAGTGTTAAAGTATCGAAATCAAGGAGGAGAATTAAGAAGTGGAATTGATATAAATTTCCTCTGTAGGACTCTTAGTCTCATCAAGCGTGACATGCTCGCCGGCTCAGAAATAAATCGATTTGTGGCATAATCCCGCACCATCTGCGCACTAATAACTCACATGAAGAATG